CATCTTGATCATGGCTTCCAGAAACTTTACATGCAGTAGTATACATAGTCATATGCCTCATTGTATCTAAAATTTGGTGGTCGGACATTCCATCTATGTTTCAATTTACTATGATTCTTCTTGAATAGGATACAGTATGCGAAATTAGGTCTTCTTCGAATTGTATGTGTACAGGTGTTGGCCTAGTAAGGTGCATTCGCTGTAGAGAAGTAGGCCTCCAGTTTTTTCCATAATCTATTCTATTAATATTTAGATCTTCTTCTTTGAAAGCTTCCTCAATTTGTGCTAGGTCAGATAAATTTATTTGTTCTTGTTGGAGTACCATTGCTTCATATTCTAATATTATTCCTTTTCCTTTTGATTCTTTTATATTTAACTGAGATAGTCTCTTTACTAATTCATCCATTAAATCTTTATTGTCTTCTCTAAGGGTAAATCGATCCTTGTTTTTGTAGGAGGGGGTTTAAACATTATTGCCATTTTCTTTCTTCAATTTGTTTATAAGGTTTTTTTATAATGTTTTCTATGCAGGTAGTTTGTTTTCCTAGAGAATGAAGATATAGATTAGTATAATTATTCTGTTCTATTATATGTGGAAGTAGTTCAATTTTATGGATATGTTCTCCTAGAATTATGTTATATGGTAAAGCTCTAGATTCTAGCTGTTCCTTTTTTATGATAAGAGCTTTTCAGGGGGATGTATACTTTCTTCGCTTCCTTCGGTTGTTTGGAAAGTCTGATATGGGCTTTCAATAGTATTTATTTCAAAGTCTGGCACAAGGTATCCCTTTTCTTTGAGAGTCGCTTTTAGCCATTCAAAGTATCCAATATTATGTTTGTGTTCTTTTAAAAAATTATTATATCTTTTATGGCACATATCTATTAGTTTTTTTGGAAAAGTTTGTAAATACCAAGTTCTTATTTGTTCATTTTGTGCTGACAGGTAATCCTTTTTTAAATATTCTAAGTCTATTTTTTCTTCTCTTGCAGAGTCAAAACCTGCAGGTCTAAATCAGACAGGGTAACTTCGTTTGTTGAAGGACTAGGGTCTATAGGCTAGTATAGGGGTATAAGAACATTACTAGTTGTTCTGGACAATCCCTGTATTTTTTAGGTTCATTGTTTATTGATGAGGTGGAAAATCTTGAAGGAGTAGGTACTCTTCTTGATGGTTTGAATGTGTTGTCATCCAGTATATTTAATCTAGTCCTTCGACTAGAATTGAAATGTAGTTCAATATCTCCATATGGATGCTCGATTATTTGCCTAGGAGTTTTATTTACAAATACTAGGTATTGTTGATTTTCGTCATGGATGGTCCAAGTTTTTGGCAGATTTATTTGGGACCAATCTATTGACTTAGGAATTACTGTATTTGATTTTTCCACGTTTGTCTTGAAAAATATAGTTTGACCTTTTGTATCAATTTGTAATACATTTGGGCTACGTATTCATTACCTTATAGCAAATTCTGTATATTAAAGCAATGTTTTGAGATCCTGGATTCATATCAAATCCCTGAGTTTTCAAATTAAGTGTAAGGACCTTAAGAAGGTTGGGATCACTTAAAGATACCGAAAAATTAGGAAAACAATTGAAATAAATCGGACCACTACACAGACTTGATTCTACTATTCCTAATAATGAATCTGTAAATTTGTTGTGACGACTATCTAGTAGACATAGCAATATTGAATTATTTAGTCCTAGCCTAGTAAGAGGTTTAATTGCTACCTGTATTAGTCCTATATGCAAATATTTTTAATTTTTATTTTTATGTGATTGAATTATTTTATTTGATAGTAATTGAAAACTCTCCTGTTCACTAGTGAC